GCGTTGTCACCCGTGAGGACTAAGATGGAATGCCTCTTTTCCAGTAAAAAGGGTCTCCGGTTCTCTACACTCACCATACGAAACACAGCAGCATTAAGCTACTATTTCACGCTGGTATTCTGTGAGAGCGTGGTCCTTCCCCGGTCGAGCCGACCCATTCGTGCTACAACTATATTATTAATATAACTGCAGCATGGCTCTACCACGTTAAAAAATTTGAGATTGACCGCTGTGGCTAAAATTTGGTCTGGAGAATAGAATTGTTGTTCCTATAGCCCATCACGTGTTAGGAGGTTTTTGTAATGGATTTTTTGAAAATTGTCGCTGTAATTTTTTTCGTTAAATTTTTTATGTTGATGATTGCCCATTTTTTATCCTTATGACCTGGAGTAAGTCCTCTTGATGACAAATGGCCACTACAGCATATAGACCCGTGGCCAAAATCCAACCAAGTACTTAGTCTAAAGTGTCACCCCCTAAGGACTAAGTTAAAAAATTTCATGACCTGCTCATTATGTACTGTTATTTTTTTACCTGCTACATGGAATACAACAGTTGGTTCTAGATAATATTTTTCTAAGCAATAAACATTATAATCATATAAAACATCTTTACGCGAGCAAAGTCATATCCGCAGTATCTCTACCGCCTTCCTTCCCACGCGGGACAGCGTCGCAAGTCGCAAGAAAGTAAACCGGGGTAAATTTTAAGTAATTATAAGGGACGCACTAATCAGCCGGGTCTTAATCACGACGAATAAGTCCCGGACGGCAGCGCGGGCCTGTGCGATCTTTATCGTTGGCCTCCAAGCTTGCTATCTTTCTCTTGCTATCTAAGTTTGAATTTAGAACATAAGATATTAATATTTTTAAGGTTTTTTTTTATTTTTTTTAAGAAAAACTTATGTATGCTGCCTGTTTTCAACCACGGTGAAAACTATCGAATTATCATAAAATATAGGTTAAAAGGATAAAGATTGCAAAACTATACTAACATAAACTACAATCAAAAATATTTCAAATAAACAAAATAGAGGGATAATTAAGGAAAGTAATGAATTTAATCAGGAGAACTTAGAGCCTTTGTCAAAGAAAAGCGGATACAGGGTGGTCCAAACAGTGAGGTTATAAATTTTTTTTTTGATTCCTCACACCTAGGGGTATCCGAAAATACCCTATGTATGTTCCGCGATTTTTTGTAGTTTTCGAGTTATGATTTTTTTTATCCTTTTTTTTGAAAATGTTCACCCTAAACAGCCCAACATTAAAAATATGTAATTGTGAGATTTTTTCCAAGTTTTTTTATTTGTAGCATGATCCTTATGAGTTGACCTATTATGCATAAAATAATTAGCTTCCTAACATTCACCGAAGATACACTAATTTTAATCGAAACTTAAAAAATTTCTGTCAGGAGAGTGGGGCTTCAATTTTCAACATTAAATGAAAAATAGTAATAAATGATTTCATACTTTCTAATTAATTTCAAAAACTTGGCAGTACCTTAATCTTTCATAATAACATTAAAAAAATGACACTTAATAGACCAGTTTTTCTGTTACAGACTTCTGAAGTTACTCAGGCAGGAAACTACCTGAATAGTTAATTTGATTTAAAAAATCTTTTTATCATTTCTAGGGCTAAACTAAGATAGTAAATGCTTCAGGTTAGCAAAAATAACATCCAGTGTCTTTACTTATTGTTTAAATTTATTGACAACAAGGTATCATTTTACTACGTTCTGGACAAATGATTTCAAGATTCATAATAAAACTAGTAAATAATTTAAGATAAATTTATTTAAAGTAAATTTTCGAAATGACGGCCATTAACTTCGATACACAGTCTACATCGTCTTAAAAAATTTGCTTTTAGTCTTCGAAAAGCATTCGTATTTTCTTTGGTTTTTTCTGCGCACTGTCTCAATTTTTCCCTTAATTCATTTTCCGAATTAATTTCTCTACCATCTCTTTGTAGAATCCCTTAAATCTGGTGAGCGTGCAAGCCATTCGATTGGCCCTGCACGCCAAATCCACCTTCCTGGGAAAGTTCTGTTAAGGTGCTCCCTCACTTGTCTTTCAAAATGGCAAGCAGCACCGTCATTTTGAAATATCATATCCCTCCTCGTTTGTAAATTAACTTCAAACAATAAACCATTTCAGTTATTTTGTAGAAAGTTCAGGTACTGGGACCCGTTCAACCTAGCCGACAATTCAAAGGGATTCCATTTATGACTCCTGACCACATGTTGATACTAAATCTGTTCTGAAAATTTGACTGCCTTTCTTTTTTTGTGTTTTCAATGGCCCAGCTATGATAATTGTGAATGTTAAAGACGCCAGTCCTTTCAAACCGGGATTCATCCGTCCAGAGTATCTTCTTAAAAAAAATCCGGGTCTTCCGCAGATCTTTCCAGCATTATTTGGCAGAAAGCAACACGCCTTAGATAGTCTGCGTCGTTAAGTTGTTGAACACGCTGAATATGAATTGCGTGATATCCCTCTGGAAAAAAAAATATTAGTATTTTTATTGTAGGTTGTCATTGTACACAATACTAGAGGTACGTACCGATAGAGCACGTGAACGTGAAACTAAAAGTTGGGATTCGCTAGAGTAGCGTCCTAGCGCCTATTTTTGAATTACGAGCGCTTGTTTAAGGGTCTCTACATATCTCTCTTTTACACACACACACACACACACACACACACACACACACACACACACACACAACACATTAGACATCGACAATCCACAGTAAATTAATTGAGTGTGATTTGAAATGGCAGTGCAGCAATGTGTTGGGATTTTGAATAAAGAGGTCTACAAAATAATAAAATGCACTCACCTGATTTCAGTATTCTTAAACTTTCTGACGGAGAAAATTTATTTTCTTTTTGTTATAGATAAGTTACCTAAATTTTCTCTACCTAGAATTTATTCTGTTTCGTGGGAGCAGTTTACATATATTAATTTCATAGGAATAAACATCTAGACCCGGAACAATAATTTGTAGGACATATAGGTACTCATAAATACTTGTTCGATATGCGGGATTGCAACCCGCGGCGCTACACGCTTGAAGCGTTTTCATTGGGTGCTCATTGCTAAGCCACTGCACCACGGAGCCGTCATTTCATCATCATGCTGACGTGAACCAATCTCATAAATACCACAAGTTATAGAAAAAAAGAAGACGTGCCTAAGCGGTGACACTTTAGAGATGCGGGTATCGTCTTCGGATTCTAGCTGGAGTCAAGAAATGTTTAGACACACAAAAGTTAGTTTTGGATGTGTTTTGATTGTTTTAGCACGTTTTAGCCAATGACTATAGATTTAAGGATGATAAAGAAAACTAATAATATTAATAAGCTAATATATAAGCTCTGGGTTTTATTATGTTAGAGGGATCCGGTAGCTTTTGAGTTTAAGCGCGTTTTAGTCAAAGACTAGAGATTTCAGGATCAGGAAAGACTATAGATTAATTAAAGACTGTGAAGAATTCAATTTTAATCCTCAGTGCGATAACGCATCTGTAAGCCTTCTTTGTTTGAATTTGGTTTCAGGCACAGGTGTTTCAGGTGTCCAAGGACCGTAGCCTCTCCAGCCAGCCTATAGCTAGGCAGTATGATCGAATGTCAGTTCAATTTAAAAAAAAAGTTTAAAATAGAACAAATCATAATATAATTCAACTATATAAGTTAAGTAATTAGGTTAGTCTAACGTAAATAAAACTACTGTACACAATAATAGAAATCCTAAATAAAGGTGACAAACTACGTTTCTGTAAACGTTGTTCCAAAGGCATATCACAAAGGGAATTGGGCAACACGAGATTTCCATCAAACTTGTTACGCCATTGTTTGTTACAGACAGTAAGTGAAACGAATGGGCTTTACGACTTATTGAATTCATTTTTAATAGCATATGATTAGTTTTGTTATCAAGTAACAATTATTGAAATCTTTGTTTCAGAGAGAGCACAAGAGATCTGTGACAGAAAATATCTGGCCGCCGAGTTTCAGTACGTCAAGCAAGTATTGCAAGACAACAAGCTTGGGGTCTCGCGCCTACGTCACAGTTTCCGAGTGAAGCCGGCCACAGTTAAGCTATGCCTGCTGTACTACCGTGTGTCAAAGGATTAACAGACAAGGTTGGCTACATCTTGAAGCGAGATTCCATTTAAACATACTACAAGTCTTCAAAGAAGGTTAGTAAGTTTTTACCATTCATCAAATGTAATATTTCTCTGTATTCTATGTAATAAGTTAACTGATTAACTAATTAACGAGGATTCATCTTGGCCCTCAAGGGTGACAACGCATCCGCATTTTGATTGTTAATTTAGGGTGGAGTGCAGATGTCTATGGACCGCAACCCCCACTTACCATCAGGTGGACGTTAAACTCACATACCACTTTTATTCTTAAAAAAATTGAGGGAGAGAGGCGCTTCTTAAACGAGGTAATTAATAGGTCAATCTTGTTGTTATTAATTTAAAGTTGTGATAAATAATTCCTGTAGAGTGTCGTCTTCAAACTCAGGTTAGTCGGATACATGCAGACATCTTCCACCCATAGTAAAAAGTGCATAAAAGCTGGTGCTAATTTAACAATTAGTTGGACTAAGAGTTGTTCTAGCTGGTTTCCAGTAGATACAGAAAGCTTAAGAGCAAATTTGCAAGAAATATTCGTACATTATTCTTTCCGCTGCCTTCCGCCATCAAAAAGAGACACGTTGAGCAGGTCTTTCCCCCTTTGCAAAACATACTATGCTGTCGAAACAGTTTTCTTAATTCTTTGTAATGCGCAAAGCAAAAGAATTCAAGAGCTGGCTTGGAATAGGTATTAAAAATAAATTTAATTCTAGGAGCTAGCTCCTAATTTATTATGATTCCCACAGTATAATGTGCCTAACATTATACTTTATTTTATTCGTCACTAAACTTACGCAGTTCTATTCACGTCCTAACATAGCGGATGCAATTCCGTCGCGCGCTCAGTCATGCCCCATTTATATCGCCCTTATAACGGAACGCAGCCCGAACTGGTAAGTCTTTGAGGTCGTTTGAAAATCGAACCCGGCAGCGTCAATCAGACAAATTGGAGCCTGCCAAAGAACGAAACACGTTTGCCGTCCTCGGATAGAGCGGCCATGATGTTTTGATACTAGGATATTTTGATCTTTATCTGTACATATGTCTATCTGAGTTGCAGCACGGCCATAATAGAATTTACTGTCACCAGCAGTTTTTCGAAAATAGCTTGAGATGGTGCGGATGCTCTTGAGCAGCGGACGGTGATGATCACTTATCATCGGGTATCGCAAGTTTGTTAAAACCACCACATTTATGAGACCGTAATCATGAATTCTAATTAGTCTGGCCTTGACCTTTAGTCTTATTCTGATCTCGACAAAAGTTAGCATTAAATGGTACTGTCCGTAGAGTTGGCTGGTGTAAAATATGGTGATTCAGCAAGGAATGATAGCCAGCGTTCGTGGTACAATAATATGGTATACAGTCCGTATGTAGTTTAGATAGCTGGTTTTGTTCTTGCCTAAATACTAATTAGGTGGGGGGAAACCGGACAGAGGGTGAAACCAGATAGTTACTATTTCATTACCCCGCGTATAGCTGGCTCGTTCTAGCTAATAGAGAAATACGCGCGAACGTTTAGTCAGTGCTATTGCAGATGGCGGAGTCGGTAACATCTCTGCGCGTGCGTCTATAAACGAAAATTAAAAACAGAGGTAAGTTATCTAATATTTTGTTTTTTTGAAAGTATTATCATTAAGTTTAGCTATGTGCTATCATAAACAGCTGTATATTCAAAGAAATAATACATATTTAAATTTCTAAAACGGTATTTGGTATCGCTATGAGTGTCAACATAACCTGTTAATTATTGCAATTTCAAACATGGTACCTGTGGGGTACAAGCGGACGGGGTGATTGCGACCATCCGATTTCACACCGATTGATTTGTATGTAGGTCTTGTGGGTGTTTGTTTTACATCTTCTTTTAATTGCTATTTTCTTTTTACTTTTTACAGAGTGAGAGTGTCAGCATGCCACGAACATATGTGAGAAAGTCAAATAGGGTTCAATGGTCGGAGTCAGACATGCTTTTAGCCAAAAATTCGGTGATGGAAGGTAGAATGGGATATCTTTTAGCGTCAAATACATACAATGTACCTAAAAGTTCATTAGAAGATCGTATAAAGAAGATAAAACGTGGAAAATCAAAATATGAAGTGTTCCGAAAGTGCCCTGCTACTGAAAAATGCGTCTTTACTGATGAGTTGGAAGATATGTTAGTCGAATATATCAAATTATGGAATCTCGACTATTTGGCTTGACTAAAACAGATCTGCGACGTTTGGCATTCCAATTAGCTGAGAGAAACAATTTAAACCATCCTTTTAATAAAGAAACTGGACTCGCTGGCTTAGATTGGGTTAGTGGATTTCTAAAACGACATTCTGAATTGTCGCTAAGATCACCTGAAGCTACATCAGCTGCAAGAGCAATGGGATTTAATAGGTCTGTAGTGTCATCATTTTTTTAATCTTTTGGATACCTTTATGTTAAGCACGCTTTCAATTGCACGCGAATTTATAACATGGACGAAACTGGATTGACCTCTGTACCAAAAAAATAGGAAAAATTATATCGGTGAAAGGTAAAAAACAAGTTGGTGCACTAGCTTCGGCTGAACGAGGACAGTTGGTAACGGCGGTGCTTTGCTTTTCTGCAGCTGGACATATATTCCACCTCTTATGGTTTTTCCTCGAGCACGAATGAAGAGTGAGCTTTTAGATGGTGCACCACCGGGCACAGTAGCTGTATGCCATCCAAGTGGTTGGATGCAACAACATATTTTCGCCGAATGGATGCGCCACTTTATCTCCTATGTAAAACTAAGAAAAGAAGATCCCGTGCTTCTTGTCTTAGATGGTCACGCCACACACACTAAAAACCTAGAAGCTATTGAGTTAGCTCGTGCGCATGGTGTCATAATGCTCTGCTTGCCACCTCACTGCACGCATCGCTTACAGCCACTCGATGTTGGTTTTATGGGGCCATTGAGCACGTTTTACTCGCAAGAAATCCAGTTATGGCTTCGAAATCATCCGGGGCGTGTTGTCACCCAATTTCAAATAGCATCTTTGTTTGGAACTGCTTATAATCGTGCCGCTACAATGCAAAATGCAGTGTCTGCTTTCGCCAAAACCGGAATTTGCCCTCTGAATCCCAATATTTTTACAGACGTAGATTTTGCACCATCACAGACAACAGAAATATCATGTGTACCAACCACAAATGAAATCTCTCAGGATTCATTGCCTCGAGAAAGAACTCCATCCCCGCAAGCAAGAACATCTACAGAAGGACAAATATTTCCAGATCCTATAAGTCTTGTATCGCCGAAAGATATCATGCCGATTCCTCATTTTAAAAAAACAATCCGGCCATCGACGCGTCGAGGAAAAACAGCAATTTTAACTGAATCGCCGTATAAAAATGAACTGGCTGGAAAATCTACGCAATCAGTTATCAAAATAAAATTTAAAGGCAAAGGTAAAGGTATCGGGAAAAAGACCAATAAAGAAAACAATCAAGAAGATTCGGAGTGTTTGGTTTGTGGTGAAAAGTATAGTCTAACTAAGTCCACAGATGAATGATACCAATGCACTGCTTGTCTTGAATGGGCTCACGAAAGTTGCATTGGTTGTTCTGACCAAGAATTATTATTTTTTGTATGCAAAAACTGCGAATAATTTAAGTATTTTGTTTTATTGTTAGTATCTGTATTCACCCCTATAATATAAAATGCCTATCCGGTTTAACCCATAGGTGTGGGGTGAATTCGGATTTGTAATTTTTGTTTAAAATTGTTCTAGTTTGTAGTAATTAAAATTGATCTCAAATATTTTCATACCAAAGTTATGCCTAAGGTATACTCAAACATTTGTGATATTGATTATCTCAATAAATAACATAGTGATTTATTTATTGTGTCTTTTTCTTAACTATCCGGTGTCCCCCCACCTTCCCCTAATTCAGCAAGGAAACGTAGAAAGCGTTCTTGGCACACTACTGCGGAGGGTAGCTCTAATTTTCAATTTTTTTAGGTATTTCTTATTATAGTAAATAATGTTGTTTATTTAAAAAAAACATACGGTTTACATTTATGATTTACATGTATTCTCTTTTATGTGGTTCAAATTTAATTAAATAATATTGTTAACTTTTCAGTATAAATAGCAAACGATCACAGCCACAGTATGACAAAGAATATAATTTAATAATAGGTCCTTACATATGAAATTGGCGTTTTGTACGGGAGGCATATACAGTCAATTTTTTTTTGTAAAATACATTTAATTAATCAAAGTATGCACCGATGTTAGCTATGTACTTTTGCCATCTCATAGGTAGTTCATTGATCCCTTTACTAAAAAAAACCATGGGGGCGAGAATCAATAAATACTTTGAAGGCAACTTTGAATTTTTTTCCTTGTAAGAAGTTGTCTAAATTCCGGAAAAAATGGTAATTTGTTGGAATAAGGTCTGGGAAGTACGGTGGATGTCGCAAACATTCCAATTTTAGCTCATCTAACGTAGTGGTTGTTTGTTATGCAGTGTGTGGACTTGCGTTGTCGTGAAGCAGCAGTGGCCTAGAGCAATTGACCAATCTCATTTATTTGCAGCTAGTTCTTCCTTTATGGTTAGCAGTAACTGATAAAAGATATCTGCCGTAATCATTTGGCCAGATTTTAGAAAGCTGTAGTGAACGACGCCGGCGCTAGGCCATCAAACACTCACAAGTAACTTTTTCTGAGTCAATTTTCATTTAGGGTAGGGCATTTGGCTGGGTCTCCAGGGTTCAGCCATTGTGACGAGCGCTTCCGATTATCGTACAGTATCCACTTTTCATCACAAGTAATGATTCGATTTAAAATCCCTTCATTTTTGTGTCGGTCGAGCAAAGTAAGACAGCAGTCGACGCGTGTTTGCAAGTTCGATTCACTCAATTCATGAGGTACCCATCGTTCAAGTTTTTTTTTACTTTCCCGATTTGCTTCAAGTGGATTAATACAGTTTTATCACTTACCCCGAAGCATGCAGCTATCTCTGAAGTGCTTTGTGATGGAACCGCTTCCACAATAGCCTTTTTTAATTCTTCATTTTCCACTTTGGTCACCGGCCGTCCACGGCGTTGGTTCTGAAGGTCGAAATTTCCAGAACGAAAACGTTGAAACCAAAAACGTACCGTAACGTACTTTTTGCGGCACCAGCGCCGTACACATCATTAATCCTTTGAGCTGTTTCTGCAGCACTGGTGCCAAGGTAGAACTCGTACTCGTAAATATACCGATATATTTCATGTTTTCCAATATACGGTGATAAACGACGCCAAAGAAAAAAATAATGAGGAAAAAACAAATGAATGACTGTTTTCAAAAGTCAACTGTATCAGCTAAATGAATTTATAAATTTAAATTCGGAATTCTTAACCAAAGAGGAGATATTTCAAATCAAAGTGGTCAGTACGACAAAACGCTAATTTCATATGTAAAGACCCAATAGAATATTTTTATTCAGTATAAGTTCACTACGATACTTTTCGAGTCTTAATATACATAATAGTAACGAAGTATAATCGATTCGAACGTAGCGGTTCTGTGCTCTCTAGCTTGTCTGCCCAGAAGATTTGTGATAAGGGTAACAGATTTAAGTAATATTTGCCAATTATCGTATCCTTAAAAATATCTATAGAAATTCAGACTAGAAAAAGTGTTGTAGAGGTGAACAATTTTTGAAAATATTTATGTATCTAATCAGAGAGCAATTTTTCCGGTCTGACACGATTAGCGACCTTTAAGAAAAGAGCCTACTTATTTTTAAAAGGTCGGCAACGTACGTTTAATACCCCTGGTATTGCATTTGTTAAAAAGCAACGGTAGCCACTTATTTACTTACTTACTCGTTTGCTTCTACCTCTTATATAACGAAAAACCAGGACACCTCTAAATAAGGACGGTCCTGCAGAAATCACTATATGCAGCTACCCTAACCGTGATTCCGATTTCAAATTCGCTCTGACGTTTGTAATTTCAAAATGAATGGGCGCAATAGCACGATGCGCCTTCTGTCTTTTTGATGTTAAAATTTCAATTTAATTTTTTTCATCTGTTAAAGGATTTTTTTCACGAATCCAACACGTTCGTTAAAAGGTGTTCACTTTAGTTATTATTTATTTGTATTTTATTCAAATTTTAAAGTATGATCGTTATTGAAAGCAAGTTTTATTTTTTTAATAGTTGAAAAATGTATTACGTAATACTACTTAAATCAGTCTTTGTTGAAAACTTGACGGACATCTACAAAACATTGCATTTATTAGCCTCAAAACCACACAGGATGTAAGATCTGCTTAGCCAGAAGCACGTCGGGGTGGTTACCACTTTATTGCCAATTTTTCCGCCAAACAACATTGCATCCACTAGAATACTAGCGTACAATAGCAGCTAAATGCTGTTGTGTTTCGTATGGTGAGTGTAGAGAACCGAATACCTTTTTTACTGGAAATGAGGCATTTTATTTTAGTCCTTAGGGTGGAAATGCATATTTGTTTTGATTCTTAATCGAGGATAGATGTAGATGTCTATGATCCACAGCATCCACTTACTATCAGGTGAACTGTGTATCGCTTGCCACACTTATTCTATAAATAAAGAAGATACTGCACCTTATTGCAAAAAGTGGGTTATAATTATTACTTTCACGTTCAAAAGCATTTTGGAGTCCAGATAAACCACATCCACCTTTTGTACCAGCTCTGTTATAAAATCAAGAAGGTTCGCTGCAATGCATCGGACAGTAGTGTCCGTATATGTACGTACACGCGTTTCTGGTTAGCCTACTCAAACCTTGACAGGTATCGCACGGGCCCCGATAAATAATATGTTACATCTGATATCTGTTACATCTGACTCTCCTTCTATTCTTATTTCATCAGATGTTACATCTGATGAAATAAGAATAGAAGGAGAGTTGATTGATCAAGTGGATGAGTTTGTGTATTTGGGATGTGTATTTAGCAGGGATGGTAGATATGATAGGGATATAGAACGACGAGTAAATGCAGGGAATAGAGTGAATGGGGCACTACACTCTATTGTGAAGAACCAGAATTTGTCAAAACAGGCACGTATGGTAATTCATAATGCTGTGTTAGTCCCTACTTTAATGTATGGTAGTGAAAGCTGGGTGTGGCAGAAGAATCACGAAAGTAGAATAAATGCTGTATAAATGCGGTCTTTAAGGAATATGCTAGGGTGTAATCTGAATG